CCCCAATGTAATAGTGCCCGCTCTATATATCACAATATACAAAGGCAACTAATTTCTAATTCAACAAAATTCTAATTCTGAAAAAAAAATTTAAAAAAAATTGGCAAGAAAAGAACTTCAAAAGAAAAGCTAACCTTTTCTGCCTGGTCACCGTTTCCTATCACACCGAAGTCGGATCGTTCCATATCACGTTCACGCATAAGCTGCTCTAAATGGCGTTCCTTTTCTTGAAGCGCATCCTGAATTTGCACAGATGATTTCCACTTACTAGGAGCTGGGATGAATATCCTGATTGCGATCTCCCACCCTAGCACCCGCCAAGTTCAATAGAATAAAAATGAAACGGAATGAACGTACCTGTAGCGCTTTGATTGTGGCATTTTCCGTACCATGTGACTGCTGAAACAACTTGTAATAAGCTTACTTTCTATAAAAGTTGGACACCTAGCTCTTTTCTATTAACATTACAGCACAAAGTTTCACAACAATAGGTTGGGCCTAAATCTATCCCTTACCTAGTTGCTATGCACTCAATTTCCTAACATATCACTCCATCTCCTAACATAATTAGCTAATGAAATGAGGCCCGCTACGTAGATATTCTGCTAGTCGTGAGTCCCGCACTCCCACGCAAATACCACCGACCATTTTCGGTCCATAGGCGAGTAGAGTGGAAGGGAAGGATTACCGAGCATGCGAGTTGCGTGCGAAAGGGGGAGGTTTGATGGAAATTCAAGCGAGAAAGACCTATGAAATTGAGTTTGGTGAGATAAAAGGAAAGGAAACAAGTTGAAATCATCACATGATACTTATAGGGGCAACGAATTTTCAAATCTGTGTCCATTCCATTTGGTTGTCCTGTCCTTCTCTCACGTCAAATTTTAACGTTCAATTCCTCTGTACTCACTCTCATCCTGGTCACTTAGGCGTTCACGTTTCTATGTGATTGTATTGAAAGGCAATATAGAAAGACACGAGCATGCGAGTGCGTACTGACTTTTCAGGAGGAAAAGACAATGAGACTCGAGCACTAGATGCAAAACTAGAGATAAGTCTATGCACATCCACGAGTTCTTGATGCAAATCCACGTATGATCTTCTTGTCGATTAACTTAAGCATATCATATAATAAAGCTAAGTGAAAGATTAGAATAGACGAACATATACATAGTGAGACTCAGTTACTCTATCAAGATACTACGGATATGAGTGAAGGAAAGGCAGACTGTAAGTTCATATACTATAGGTACCAATTACAACATGACACTATTAGATATACATATTTTTGATGTGTATCGAGTTAGTAAAAAAGAAGATCAGTTGCTTTTTCAAATATATGAACTACATATAACAAACAATCAATAGTAGCATTTTTCAATGTAGTGAAAAACAAAGAAGAAAAAAAAAACAGCAAAAACAGACTAAGCAGAAACCTACACTACTTTGTGAGGTTTACGAACAACGCCGAACCGCGAAGAAGCCACACTTGATCTTCCTATGGATGAAAGGGATTCACGACTTCCACCCAAGCCTCGGTTCTGCCGTAGGAGGGATGTTTTCGTTTGCACGACCTGCTACGAAACAATACATTTATCAAAAAGTCCATCACTAAATAGGAAATGAAAAATCTACCTTAGCCCTATTAGGTGTTTGTGATGGTGCTCTCTGAGTTTTAGAAGCCGGCACGAACACGCCGTAAGGTGTTTTGCATGTGAAGTACCTTTTGCCCTAAAGTCAGGAAAAGTTATATGTACATAATAATAGTGAGACCTCTAAATCCTATTACACTGAAATGAACTGTCAAAATGACACAAGAATATTGAAATTATTAAAATAACGAAAAACAGAATCTAGGTAACACACCTGCACACTTCCATCGTTCTTTCCTAACGGCTGTTCCAATTCAATTCCTGCCCAAATACCTTGAGCGAATTCAGTTTCGCCGATAAATCTCACAATACCTTGCTTGCCACCAGAAACCACAACACGATCGTCGATATCAAACCTGGAAAATGAAATTTTCCATTGATTTTGAATAGAACGGATTTCATCTGGAATCGAGAATGAAACAGGCGAATTTAGGGTCCCTGTCCAACTCTCATTCATTCCCCCTCCCCACCCCTTGAATTTGTTCTTCGAGAATGTTCCACTCGAACTGATGACGGCATCGAACGGGTGCGGGGGATGAGAGCGGACGGGTGACGCACGCCACACCAACGCTATAACACCGCAATATTTAAAGCCGCTTTGTCGAATTCTTATGATTTTGGACCTCTCTCAAGCTTTCTTCAATGCAACCTCTTGACTTGCAATCTCCCACTGCAGAGCCAAGGTGAATATCGCAGTGTTTGCAGGTGGCAATACGGCAAAGGAAAAATGTACCAACCCAACCTAAAGCCGATAACAGCGTCACTCTACTGCTTTGATAATGAATATCACAGGGTGAAAATCTAATTTGAAAAATTGTAAACTTCACAACAATTAGGTTGAAACGGGTTGTACCACAATCGAGATTTCGCCTTACTTTAGCCTTCTCCCTTACATACATAAAACAACTCTCCAATGTGCACTCTATCGCGATTTTGACAGCTGAGCAATCCATCGTTAACCAACGACAAGATGTTCTTGCGGCAAGTGGGCAGAAAGTAAACAAAAACTAGACATAACAGTTTCAACGCGGATCGATCGGAAGAGCTGGATGTGTCGACAAATTGCTCTGAACAAAGACTTAGCTCAAGCATGTGTAAAGTGGATGTTGGCGAAAGAGAACTTCTTGACATCGACGGAACTGGCACAGGATGAAGGAACCGTTAGGCAAAACCAAGACAATACACAAGTGAAATCATGAACTGTTCGTCTCTCGCCCACTTTAACTGCTACTCAAGTGAATGGTGGAAAGCCCTTTTCGTGCCTTTCGTGACATCACGCACTGCAACCCCTTTCTCCTTCCTGTACGAGAATCCTATGCCTTACAAAATGCTGCGTTTCGCATCTCGAACTCGAGCCGAAAGTGTAAAATACTATAAAACACCCTATACAGATCATCTCACACGAGAGCCACTTTCGCGGGTGATATGTCCACTAACAATGAAGATAAAGAGGAAAAAAGGGAACAGAGCAGCAGTAGTAGTGGGAAGCTTCCTGAGAATATGTCATGCTTTTTTCCACAACGAGAAGCCCTTTAGGGATCAGTAAAGTTTTGTAAAACTAAAACGATTTTTCTTAACGAACATTTGTAAGCATAAGTGAAGACTTAGGCAAGGACCTTACCCATATTCAGCAGCATAAGGACTTTTGGCATCATTCTCTCCAGGAGTCGGTGATTTAAACCGCGCAGGTGACAACAATATTCGATCCAGTTTGCTGGACTTGCAGAACAAACCGTGATCTGGAGTGCACTGAAATGAAAGTAATCACATTTGCGAACTATGACCTGATTCTAATGGAAGAATTTTGGAGAGATCAAGAGGGCAGGTTTCAGAGTTACAGCAACTTGATAAATGTTCCAGAGCAGATGATGTTAGGAACATAGTTCAGTTTTTAACAGCATCAGGTGCTCCACCTACAACGCAAGCATTTTGGAGAGCTCTGAACAGGCCTAGATCAATGGGTGAAATATGCGAAAAACCACGAACATTTCTCAGATTTCTACCCAATGAGCCACCGATTGGTTTTTGAAAAAAAAAAAGCAAAACCATGAAAAGAAGCTACTCCAAAAGTCTACATGTGGAAAAGGCATTCTTTGGCTATAAAAAAGCCCGCTGAAGCACGAGTCTCAGTGAAATAGTAAGAAGGAAGAAACGACAGCTGGTAGATAGCACAGGTAAATTGCCCACAAGTTAACTTGAGAATTAAAGCAGATTACATTCTGCGATAAAAAGATGGTCATGTTATATCGAGAACAACTCTAATGCACGTATATAATTAGGCGTGGAATATTGTTACGGAAAGTAAAGACACAGGGGTTTTGGAAGATCGAATATGGAAGAATATGATTTTCATACCATAGATGAATGATCGCATCTACGAAATCTTAAAAGGTTCGAAATAAGAAAAATTTTGAGCGAAATGAAATAGGAAAGAGAGAAAATGGTAGAGAAATTCGTTAAATGGGACTGCATAACGAAGCATGAAAGATTTAGTGTATGTCGAAGGTGTAAGATGGAGTTGCATGCAAACACTAATTATACCTGATATTACACCCTTATGCTAAATGACGTGACGTATCATTTACTCCCATCCAAATTAGGACAGAACTAATGGAACAAAGGCAGTTTCAATAATGAAATATCACTTCAGAAAACGCTTCAATAGACCCAATAGAGCTGCCAGGCGATGCCAAAATTGCACGATGGCACTGTTGATACATACATATATGTAGTTCGTTCTTGCTGCGCTACCATTTGCTATTTCCAGCAATGGCGCTAGCGCACAATCGCATGACCATGCGGTTGTTGGTAGATGCTTATCCTAGACTAATGCACAACCGTCTAGTCCCAATTATCACCGCGAGCGAGTTGAAATGGGCAGATTTGCCAATACTATTTATTATGAAGTGAGGCTTGCGCAACTGCTCAAAGGCTGTGATCAGTAAGTACTCGAATCAAATCAGGGGACCGTGGAATTGAGTATCTAGCAACGCGGGAAACTGCAAAAAACGTTGTAGTGTCTTCATAGGAATCCTACTTTCGCTAGACCTACCCACAGCAGATGCCATGTTCTGGAGTCGTGAACAAACGATTCGTTATGGGGCAGGAAGTTTCAAGACAAGACGCAAATGTTGCACCCAACGGGTGGGGAGATCCAGTTATGGAGCTAGAGCACAATTTTAGAGAGCGAGATGTAAGTGATGAAAACAGGCATAAGCGTAGCAAACGTAAAAAGTGAATTTATGGACTCAACGAAAAATATCGGTCGTTGAACAGATCCATCATTCTTGCCTAACGGCTCATCCAGCACAAGTCCGATCCATTCGCCGGGAGCAAATTTAGTTGGGCCCACGTATGCTACTGTACCACTGCGTTGATCGATTCGGGCACGATCACCGACCTGAAATATGCGTCTCGCATCATCAATACTCCCTCGCACGGGGCTTTCTCAATGTGAGAGACTTACAGCGGAGAAGGCACATTTAAGTGAAAAATTAAATATGTACACAGGACAAGACGTATTTTAAATGAAAAATTATTGAAAATTCAATATAAGCTCTAAAAACATATTGAGCAGGTAGGAGGTTGACCTCAGAGTAAGTACCACTCGTTGTGGCTCAACATGAGAACGCTTGCTGTTTGCGCTTTTTTTATTTTGCTTGTTCTATAATTTTTCCTGCGGGTGCGTTAGCAAACAGAATCGTCCGGAGACCGGGGGCGGGGGGGCGAGGGGGGCAGGGGGGGGGGGGGTGGAGGGCTCCCGCGCTTTAGTTCGCGGGCCGCTACGCCGCGAATATAGTGGACGAGTTGAGCGTCAATATTGATTTTGAATTCGGAGACCGCCCCTATAGCCCACTGGCTTCACTTGCATTTCTGGTCCATTGCTCCACCTGGACGCTATCACCCACTGCTCCCTGTGACATTTGCAGAGTCAATTCCAACCTTCTTTCTTTCTGCATCATTATTACGACCAAGGTATCGCTGTTTATTGTGTTTCATACGATATTCTCTAGCACTTCTTTTTCACCCTCGGACATACTATATCCAGTCCTACTAAGTGTAACTTTCGTTTTTTTTGCTGTGTTGATCTGATTACCTCAACTCAATTTTTTTCTTAGTTTTTCACATGCGAACTGCTAATTCAGGGATTCGTAACTTATACTCACTATTTGCGGGAGGAGTGGGGAATGGTTACTTCGGGCGTCCTACATCTGTCAGCAGTTTTGATTGCCGTTTGCAGTGGATCGCAATTTTATCAAAATGTTAGACAAGGCAATGACGTAAGTTTTTACTGACTTATTGTTAGATACAACCAGTAAGATGTCCTCATCATGATCATGGTTACATCCTTTTTCTCCGTATTTCTCCGATCTTCTTGCCGGTGAACCTCCGGATCGGGAGGGGGTCTGCCTGTTATCTTTCCATAGTACGAGAGAGTACTCCTCTGGACTTCAACCTTATCGATAAAGATATTAGGTAAATGACTCATTTCATCTGCACTTTGTTAAGGACCGGTGTATATCCCACGTCATGCAAATCCTGCTCAGATCCTGGGCAATTTGTGGCATATGATCGTCCACCCTGGGCTCCTACACTTGCGCGTAGGGAAGGTGTCCATGCCCTAGTCCATGACCATTTCCGTGGAACACAGCAGGCCGAAATCTGGAAACACCTTAAGGGGACTTCCAAATTACACCACTTCTTATCAGAAGTAATCTCAAATAAATCGATTATGGGTCAAACTTTTATCCTTTTCATTAGTATTGGAGAGTACAATGGTGTGCCCCCTCCCCTGAACTGGAGTTTCACCCTTCTTGCCACTTCCATTTTTTTCTTCCTGTGCCTGTACACTGGTGGTTTTCCTTGGGCTCATTCTTCGTCCCTCATCCCCGAAGTATTCATTTGTGTTTCTTCCCTTCTGTGTAGACCCTTAATGTGTATAGTTATTACCCCGAATCGCAATTGAATTTCTTAATCCAATCTCGAGTTTATTCAGTTTCTTCTACAAGCTACCTTGTATAGCCATTTAATTGTTGTCAGTAAGACAGCTTTCGCAATTAGTGACTCTTGCTGATCACACTTACTACCAGCTGATTGTCAGCAGAAGCTTGGGACTGTACCTTGTAGTCAATAAATGTAGAAGGAGACCCACGTCTTTATAGGATTCATCTTATTTGTCGTCTGCGCAATGTGTTTCATACTACGTATGGTACGCAGCTGTTATCATTTATGTTTTCGTTATGTGCTGGGCTCATCCGCGTGATCCAACGGAGAAGGCGGTATGTATTTGTATTGTGTAGATGCTCACGGTTTTCATGTGGTTTCTGTGGTAACATGGCTTAACGAGGCTCCTGAATTGGATAGCTCCTTTTTCAATCGCCTTACTCTGTGGTGGTTTAATCCCGTCCATTGGAAGGATGCTCTAGAGTTCTTGAGGTAAGTGAAAATTAGTTGATGAGTGCGTGTGATATTTTTGGTTTTCGTAATGGTCATTCATATACATTTTTTATTTTCAGCCCGGAGATCTCTTCGAATTGAATAAGGGAGATACAACGAAGTATCTGAGTGAACTATGGGAAAAGCACTGGCACTACCGGTCCCTGTTTACTTGCTCTCCTACGGTTGTACTTATAATGAACTTTGTCATTCAGATTGCTACAACAAAATGCGATCTGGCAAGATTGTAGGTAAGTTTCAAACAGAACATTTAGTTTTTGGTCATTGTAGATCGCTCACGCGTGGAATCGCGAGACTGATAGCCGTAGCACTTATGCCCCCATAAGAGGAAGTTCCATTCCTTGACTGGAAAATGTAATTGACTTTGCGTGTACATTTAGGTTCATAGTTTTAATAAGTTCTACTCGCTTCTCTTCCAGAAAAGGTAAGAAACCGATGGATGTAGCACTCCCCTTGATCTATTCACACGGTCCTTTTGCATTGCTAGCTGACTCAATGACTGCTTGAACTCCTAAAGATACTCTTATCTTATTTCAGCCAGCTCATTGGTTTCGTGCGTGTCTAAACCGGAATTCATTCTTTGGATTGTTCTATCCTACTCTATACTAATTTTCGCCGCGTCGGAGGTAATCGCACTATTGAACCTTATCAGATTGTTGGGAAGTAGTTTTTTATCCGATCCAATGTTTAGGTCCGCTCAGTCGTTCTTAGTTCGTATTTCTACATCATGTCCCGCATGGGAATCAAATTCCAAACCGCTCTGACTGATTTCTCCAACACCGCCACGTTGGTTCCCACATTGCTGACTATTGGAAACGTTACTGTTGTTTGTAGACCACTAGATAAAATGTAAAAGCCCGGCATGCAGTGAAACTGTCAAAATTTTTTGTTGATAATAAATGTTGATTAGTGAATGTTTTGTACATGGTGCGTCCACAACGAGTGTGGTTCACTAGGACAGAAAGTGACTTTTTCGCGTTTCGCAGCGGGGAACCTTTTTCGCTGGTAAAGCAGCTTCAACAGAAGGTTTGAAGCTTCGTTCAAAAACTCCAAGGCCGAGTTGTTCCCCCGACTACAAACCGAATCTAATTAAGTACGGGAAGGTGGCGCTAACAAGAAAGTGGCTTCAAGAATGAGAAGCAAACTGCAGCTATGATAAATCCACCCCCTCCCCTTCTACTGAGCCGACCGAACATGGTATTGAAAAGAAATGTTCCTTAGTTCACGCTGCTTTAAGAAATAGCTTGCGCCGATGCACCTATACAGAGAAAATATCACTAAAGCCAATCTGAGACTTCACAACTTCTCTTGAGTCAGGTAGTTGGCAGCAAACTTGTTCAGTGGGACAGACCTACTCATAGACATACCTCGCAGTTGACCCTCAAAATGTTTGTATAGTCACAAGGCACAATCGCCCCATCAGTCAGTGGCCAAATGACTGGAAGGAGGTGGGAGTGTGAAGCAACGAAATGAATGATTTCAGGGAGCGCTTCATCGTTAGGCAGGTGTCAGAGTTCGCAATTCGCGCTTGCGGATCTAGCATCATGCCGCCTGAGTCGTCGTCCCTCCCTCCCCCCCCCCCCACCACACACACGCACATATCATTGCAAACAACACGTGAAGCGAGCGACATGCATAAAACGCGTCTTGCACGCTGCAAATGACGGAGATGACGGCAACATGGGTAGCACGGTGCCAGAATGGAGTCTGACACTTGCCTTATAAAGAGTTATCAATGTATGTAGTCAGTTTCAAAACCACCCTACAGAAAGCTTCAATGATTATTAGCTCCGCTGAAATATTTTCAGGATGCAGTCAGACAAACCGGCAGAGCAGCATATAGATGGGAAAGGAAGAAAGAAAACGAGAAACGGAAACTGGTATTCGCATCACAGACTTTTGAAGTTGATGGGACAGGGTCCAAAGAGTTAATGTGGACTGCAGCAAATCTGTTGCTCCAATCGACAAAGTCAATTATTGCCGCGCCCATCCAAAAAGTGCCGCATTACGGCGCCGCGCAAGTGGCCGCGCGCGACGGCGCCACTCCGGACGATTC